TTGAGCACCATTTTAATGAAATTAAGGATAATAACCTAAAATAACCTTAAACCTTTCTGGATTCCTCAATTTATTTTAATCTTTTTTCTGTCTGTTCTTTGTCTCCTTCAGCTGGCTCAGAGGAAGATTCGTGATATCCTGACGCAGGTCAAAATGTCTCAGAAAGGTGGGATGGGTATGGGCCCCGGCCCCAGCCCCCAGGGTTTCACCGAAATGGGCAGCCCTACGCCGGGAGTGAATCAGGATCACCAGCCACGCAGGAAGTGAGGGCCTCTTCCCACCCCACCTGACTGACGTGTGCAGACGGACGGACGGACGAACGGATACAGAAGAGTAAAACACGGACCCAGCAATAGACAGGGAGAAATATTGAGAAGGGTGGCGCTACGCCTGACAGCCACTGAGAAAGCCGGAAAAATTAGGAAAAAATCAAAAGATGAAATTGATATAAAGAGGATTTAGATTGAAAGAAACTTGAAAACAAAGACCCAGTGCCAGGCCAGAGGAGAGGCTGAATGTGGATGATGTGGTGAAAAGGAGGGATGGAGAGGCGGCATGGTTCTGGCGTGCCGCGGCGGGACGCCACGCTTCGGGCAGGTTTCAGTGGCCGGTGGACCGGATCCTGAAACCTGCCTGAAAGGTCGGCCATGCTTCGCTCCTCCTCTGCACACCTCCAATCATCTGCAGTCAGCCTTATATTTTAAGGGCGTTTTTTAACATAGAGATATATGTATAGAAATGTTTTATTCAGAGCTATTATTGATAAGAATGCAGTGAGGCGGAGCTGGGAGAGCTGGGAGCGAAGCTGCTGAGGAGCCACAGGCATCTCTAAGCCTGGTTCTCTAAAGGAGGGGGGGCCGTAGATGCTAACACTGCTCTTTAAACAACTCTCTGAAGAAAAATATGAGGTTGTAAATATATCATCTTCATGTTATTGTTAGTAAATGCTGCGTCCGACCACATTTTTTACTAAAAAAGGAGGGGTTGTCTTTCAATTTCCCTTTCCCCCCGTGTAGCATAACGTAGCCTACAGTTAAACGAGGGGTGAGGGGGGCACCTGGCACCCTCCTCCGTGCTTCGCTTGTGGAAGGACACAGCAAGAGACAGTAAGGAGGCGGCCGTCGCAGCTGGTCCTGCAGTTCTAATGCAGCGGCTCAGCTACACGCTGATATAAGGAAGCATGTTTACAGGCGCAGCAGCCGTGCTCGCTGGCCAGCGACCCGCACCTTCAATGACATATTTTATATATATTATATATATATGATATGTGAGTTAGTCCGGCCCCCATCTGGACGTACGTCTGAGTGGCAGGTGGGACGTTTTGCTGCAGAGACAGACAGGCGAGGCGCGTCTGAGACCCTCTGATCTTTGCGTTCTTCCAGCGGCGGGCAGCCGAGCTCCCCCGTCTGAAACGGAGACCCCTCTGGTACCAGAGCCGTTTCCACAGCTACTGACGGGGACTAGGCCCCAAATCACTGGAACATCCCAAAACTCCCACCTTCACCTCAGCAGTTAAAGCCTGACTTGATTGGAAGCAGCTTCCTGGTCTCCTCTCCCAGTTCCTGCCAAAGGCCTGTGGGCGGAGCCTCCAGATCCTGCCTGTGTATGATAATGAGTGGCAGGAGCGTGGATGCTTTACCAAGATTAGAACAGATCAGAGAAGAAACGATAAAGAAAAAACTACCTCAGGGTAAAATTACCTCAGTATTCCTAACTTTTTTTTTTTTTTTTTTTCGCTTGCTGGTGTTTTATATAAATAGAAAAAAAAGAGCTAATAGTCCTTAATATGTTTTATTTTTTTAAGATTTTTTTTTTTTTTTTTTTTTAGTATTGTTAATTTTTAGGGTGGGGTGGGGGGGTGGATGAATGAATTCGGGACGACACGGAGGCGGTTTTGTTCTAAGCACAGAGATAAAACGCTGGTGGGGGAAAAAACGCGCCATCCGTCTCCCTGAAGCGTGATTGGATCAGCCACTGCCTGAAGTGGAAAACTGGCCAATGGGGAGCAGTGTTACCTTTAGAGGCGGGTCCTAACAGGCTCAAGGATGACCAAACACAGCACTCTGAGCTTCTAGTTGACTCTTAGGAACGGCGGTCTCCTCCGCCTGCCTCTGCTATCAGTCAGCGTGCCTGCCTGAACCCTGAAGGACCCGCCTCTGGTGCCTTATTGTTGTGACATCATCAGGAAGCGCCAAACAGGAGCTGTTTTCTCCCTCAGCCGTTCCAGAGCTTCATCCTTTGAGCAGTTGTCCATCCAGAGCCTAACTGTCGGCGTTTTAGAGGGCGCAGCAGCTGGTCACACTGCAGGCAGCTCTGATGTCTCCAAATGTGAATATTTATTACCTGTGCACTGACCATGATGCTCCCTGTTGGCTGAATGGGCGTGTTTGTAAAAAGCAGGCATTTGCAAGTTTGTGTTGTTTTTTTTGTTTGTTTTTTTTGTGGTCAGGGAATGTGGTTGGTTTAAAAAAAGGCAGAACCTTAAGGCCCCTCCATCTGCGAGCAGACTCATCAAAGATGGAGAAACATTCTGGAAAATGGGAGCAAAACAGCAGGAAAGCTGCTGTCAGACCGTTAAGAAAAAAAAAATCTGAATTCTTTTGTATTTTTGGAGAAAAAAAGTAAAAAGGAATAAATAAAAAAAATAGAATAGGAAAAGCGTTGAAGAGAAAGAACACGTTGGCCATTGCAGGGCGCCGCCAAACTAAAGTCCTCGCAGCAGCGACCTCCGCCCCAAAAGACGAGGAGGAAACCCGTTCGCTCACGCCTTCGCTTCCATTTTTCCCCAGAGGCCCAAAGCTCACAGCCCAGCATGGCTGCTGTCGTTTCCACGTCTTTCCCAACCATAGAGCTCCGTTCACAGCCGCCGAGACGCAGTTTATAGGATTTATTGCTCAGCCTGCAGGGGATTGGTTAGATTCAATGTTTTTTTTTTTTTTAGTTTAGACAAAACAGCAAGCTTTATTTGGACATAACATCTAGGGACGTAGTGTTGCACTAATGGACAACAAACTAACAGAACGACTAAAAACACCCGCCCCTCACTGCGAAAGGAAAGAGACGGGAGGAAACCAGCTCATTTCCTCCCTCTCTCCTCTCCTTTGTGTTTTAGTGAAGAAAATAATGAATTTCCTGAAGTTTCTAAATGATATTTACCGTTCGGAGCGGGCAGGAGCGTCGGCGTCCCTCGCCCTCTCTTGCGCTGGTCTCCATTTCATTTGTTTTGCTCACTTCTGTAAAAGACGATTTTTTTTCCCCCCCTAATTAGTTCACCCAAAAAAAATAAAAAATAAAAAAATAAAAAAAATAAAATGAAAGTTGAATTTTTCTGTTTGAAAAATCTGAAAAGTAATCAAGCTTCTATATGACTAAACATTAATTATTAAAACTGCCACTAAATATGATAAAATACCAACAGGTCGGTCCGTAAGCAGGAGGGCCCGGTCCAAAACCCAGGAGAGGTTATTTAACATGAAAGCCTGTTCGGATCGGACCGAACCGCACCGTTCCACCTGCAGCCTGTATGCTGTGGGTCAGACCGTAGTGAGCAGGACTGTCCTGATTCCCTCTCAGCCCCTGGAGCAGCCCGGTTCTGGACCGTTTCTGGGCTGAATCCAGCTGGGAATGGAGAGTTTTAGTGACGCCACCTTTGAACGTAGCTCAGATGTTGACTCCACGCTCTAACACTCAACATGTAGAACATTTTTCTGTGTTAAACTCTTCGCTATAATGTTTGATTCCTCCTTTTAGTTCATGGTGCATGTTTAGCCCCTTTTCCATTCTCAGGTGCTTTATATCACTGCTGATCCGTTCTGCAGTTTCTACTCCTTAAAACCTTATTTTAAAGCATCTGATCTGATGAACTTTCTGCATCAGACTGAATGAAGCATAACGAACCAGCAGCATTCACATCAGTCTGTTTGTTAAAAACTGAAATCTTTTTCCTTGGTAAGACAATCAGCCAATAAAATAATAATATTTAGATTTGAAATGAGTTGAAACATCAGCTGTATTTCAGGTGCATATGATCTGATTTTCTTAGTTTCAGGGCAGAAATCCTCCAACTGATTTGATCTGATCTTTAAACTCAAATTAAGGACAATTAGACTTATTTAAAGGAAATGTATGCTTAGTTTTTTCATTATTTTGTAGTCTCATGTTTATTTTGCAATTAATAAAGAGATAATTCAAACCGCTCCCTATTCAGAGGACCAGCAGTAGTTCTCGTAGCTCAGTTTAAGAGCCATAGTTCCAATTTATGTTTTAGGAACAACTTTGTTCTTTGTATTTTTGTTTTCTTTAAACATGGATGCTCTTAATTTGAGCCTTTAAATGAAAGGATTTGTCAATTGAACAAGTATTTTTACCCTTAAGATAACTGGATATTATGCACCTTTAAAAAGAAAAAAAAAAAGTTCAGAGTTGACGTTTTTTTGTTATTTTAAATGTAAAACATTATTATTTTGAGGGCAAATTGTCTTACTTGCACAAATCAAATGAAAATGCAGTAATTTGAAGGAAAATCTGCTTCTTTATATTTTGTTTTCCGTAGTGTAGTTCAGAAACATCAAAGCATCCGACGGCGTGGATTTATCCTCGTCTCCAAACCGGTGAACGGATGTTCATCTGGCAAAGTTCCAAACAGAAAGCGTCAGCCGTGAGTTCATCAGTGCATCAGGTGGCAACCCTTTTCACCAGGGGTCACCATGACTCACTAGCCATCACCTCACTGTAGAAATCCACCTTGAAGCCGTTCAGTTTGACGGCGGCACATTGATGTGAGCTTTGATCAGCAGTGATAGAAAGTACCTAATAAATTGGCAAAATAGAAAAAAAAAAAAAAAAAAAGTATCAAAAACCAAAAATGGATAAAAAAAATATAAATAAATTTCCTTTAAGAGTAGAACCTTGGAACGTCAGACCTGGAAACTTCTGGTTTGTTGTTAAAACTTTACGGAGCTGAGCTGCGACTCAACCGTCTGGAACTGACAAACTCCAACGTGGTGCAGAGTCCCGGCACCAGAACGCGGCCCCTCAGCCGAGAAAAGGGGCTCCCAGTTTAAACCCGGAACTAACTTAACACCCTCTAAACACATAACCAGCAATGCTACCTCAACAAATACCCGAGCTCTGCTGGAAGATTGCTGCTTTTCAGCAGTCAGACAGCTGGACGCGTGCAGAGACCAGGACTCAGTGTTTTATAGCACAAGTACATTTTTCACACTTTGATTTTTGTTTCCCAGTCGAGCTCAACTGGAAAACCGAAAAAAGACAGAATTAAAGAGACGTGCACAAAAAGAAGTCCAGAATGCCACATTCTGGGGCGGGAGGGGGGCGCAGAACCCAGCTGGACAAGCGTCGACCAATCACAGCCAAGCGTTGACTACTCTCGTTTGTAATTCGTCGGCTGACTGCTAATCAGGCGGGATTATAAACGAGGAGCGCTCCTCACGTCTCCTCTGCGATTCGTCTCCGGAACGACGCCGGAAAACTTGTAATTATTTTCTTAATCTACCTCTTTGGGGAAAAAAGTAGGTATCATCTGTTGGGGGGGAAATGATTTGAAAATGACACCCCTAGAAAATAAATCTAGATGGATAAATAACTGGGTAGTGGCTTCTCCATATACTGTAGTGGATAGTCTATTCAAGGAAAGAAACCTCTACTTCTTCCAAAGATAAATTTATTCCCACTCAGTTGATTTGGAAGGAAACTCTAGAGCTTATTTGTCGTCACCAACCCAACATATGTTAGATTTCTTTATCCATTTGTGCATCTATTTGAATTATTTCTATGAACTGTCTTGTTTGTAACTTTAAAATATGATTTTTTTTTTTTTCCCCTGTTTTTATTTTGGTTTCTCCTCTTTTTCTCTCCTTTTTCTGACATCAGATTGTATCTCTTATGTTTGGGTGCGTTTAGCATTTTCTTTCCCTCTGAAAAGTTTCAGCGCCCCTGCAAGGACCTTTTTCACCATCTATGATGTGTTTTCCTTTGAAGAAGCAAAAGGACCTGTTTTCTAAGCTGACAGTGTTGATGCTGGTGAAAGGAGGGAGATCCTGTTTCACTAACCATTTGTCGGATTCATCTTCACTCATCACTATTAGATTTAAAAGGATCTGATTTGTTGCAATCAAATCTACACCTATAGCAGTTCTTTTTTTGCTCTTCACAGTTTATGGACTTTCACCCTCTGCCTGCCTGATTTCTTTATTTCTCATCAACACTTGTTTTAATTCCTTGTAAACAAACAGAGCATAGATATGAATGTGTTATTAAAGATGAGATAACGGACCGTGTTTGCTTTGCTTTTTGTTTCCAGTGGTTCATCTAAAGCTAGAAGGCAGCTCTGGTCTGGAAGAGTCCAGATTTATCTGGGAGGAATTCTTTAACCACTAGGGGGCGTTTTAGTGAGCCTGATGGTAACTGGCAGCAGAGCGCTGTCCGAATTAGGGGTCCTGAAACTTTACTGCCTGCGACTCCAAACATACCAATGGAGTGTTGGGGCCAGGCTAGAGGATTTTTTAAAATAGGAAAATAAAGTCATAACATAAGAATAAGGTAATATTACATTATTAGAATTAATATATTGAGAATAAAATTGCAACATTATAAGAATAAAGTCATATTACGAGAATAAAGTCTCAAAATTATTAGAATAAAGTCGCAATATTATAGGAATAAAGTCATTACGAGAATAAAGTCTCAATTGTTAGAATAAACTCATATTTTGAGAATAAAATTGCAACATTATAAGAATAAAGTCATATTACGAGAATAAAGTCTCAAAATTATTAGAATAAAGTCGCAACATTATAGAAATAAAGTCATATTACGAGAATAAAGTCTCAAAATTGTTAGAATAAAGTCGCAACATTATAGAAATAAAGTCATATTACC